GAACCCACCACTTTTGATGTATGTGGCTGGAGCCGTACTCACTGACTGAGCTAGGGGCGCTGAGCCAAGATTCCTACTTCCTTATAGAATCAAGGGAAAGGGTAAATAGAAATAATAAATCCTTTTGCAATACAAAGAAGGCAATAGAAATGCTAAATTTTAACTGTAACCTTTTTTTTTTTAATTTGCAGTTTTGGCTGGGGCCAGGCTTGAACCCACAAGTATATGGGGCTGGCACCCTACTCCTTGAGCCTCAGGTGCTGCCCAACTGTAACCTTTTCAACAGTACCCAAAGAATCTGGGTCCAAGTTTTAGGATGAGAAAAGATAAGATGTCCCCTTGCCTAGGGCTAGATGCTTGTTGTGTGTTGCAAGCATCAGCATGGCTGACTATAAGACTGTGCTGCCTGAGAGGAAAGGTAACTCCTTTGCCTTTCAGACCACATACCACAGCTCTCCCGTCTCTGTCCCAAAAGGGTTCCAGGTGGCCTAGGAAGATTCACATCCCTAGCTGCAGGTTTTGGTCCCAATGTTTCGGTGATCACTGTTGTCTTCCTAGCATCATTGGTGATGTGGGTTTGAGGCTGGAGTCCTGGAGTGTGAGTTGGGCCTCCCCCACAGCTGATGAGGATGAATTTGTTGGGTCCACTGCTGCCACTCTCTTTGCCTTTGGCAGTCAATGCTGTGATGATGCTCTGGATATTGGCATTGCTGGGGATGGCCACCACTTGGGTATTGGGCATGGTGGGATGGTTAATAATCTTGATTCCAGCTGGAAACTTGCAGGAGCTTGACTCTGCCACTTCTTTGGAGGCCTGTGCTTGACTAGGCTCCTGTTGGGCAGGGAGTCTCTTAGGTTCCTCTGCTGATGTTTCACCTGGGGCATTCTGAACAGGAAGGGGCAGCCTCCGTCTTTTGAGAATTAGTGGCCGCCGGGGGCTCGTTTTCATTATGAATCTATGTTTTCACTCTCCATTGAGAATCACAAGCATGGACCCTGGAAAGTGCAAGGAGCAGCAGGATGTCAGAGATTTGTTAGACTAAGAGGGGTTCTTTTAGAGAAAGGTATTCCTCTTTATATGGCTAGCTGTATGAGCCCAAAGGCCCAGGTAAATACGCCCTGAGCCTCAGACAATAAGATGGGCTCTATTGACAGAAAAAAAATAAAAACTAAAACTATAACAAACAGGTCAGGCACAGTAGCTCACACCTGTAATCCTAATATTCTGGGAGGCCAAGGCGGGTGGATTGCTTGAGCTCAGGAGTTCAAGACCAGCCTGAGCAAAAGCAAGACCCTGTCTCTACTAAAAATAGAAAAACTGAGAGAAGAAGATAGCTTGATCTTGAGTTGGAGGTTGCTGTGAGCTATGGCGCCACACACTCTATCTAGGGCAACAGCTTGAGGCTCTGTGTCAGTAATAATAATAATAATAACAATAAAACTACAACAAACAGAAGCAATTCAAAAGGGGGATTGTGGGCCTGGGTGTGGTGGCTCACATCTGTGATCCCAGCACTCTGAGAAGCCAAGGTGGGTGGATCAGTTAAGCCAAGGAGTTTGAGATCAGCCTGAGCAACATAAAGAGATCCTATCTCTACTAAAAACAGAAAACTTATCTAGGCATGGTGGCGAACACTTGTAGTCCAGGCTTCTTGGAAGACTGAGGCAGGTGGATTAACTGAGCCCAGAAGTTTAAGATTGCAGTGAGTTATGATAACACTGCTGTACTCTAGCCCAGACAACAGAGTAAGACCTTGTCTCAACAAAAAGAAAAAGTGGGGGAAAGTGGGACTGGGTTGGATATAGCCAAAGATCTCCTGGAATTGTATAAGCATGCTGGGTACAGAAACAAGTGGGAGAGCTACAAAAAATGTGGAAATCTCTATTGCCTACTATAAAACAGATCACTTGTAACAACTGTAGGGTCAGGAATGGAAGATGCAGGGATAGGAGGACTATGATAATCAGGAATCCTGACAAAACTCTAATCTGAAAATCCATCCTAAGATAAAGCCTTTATATTGTTTTATAAATGATTTTTTTTTTTGAGACAAAGTCTTTCTCTGTTGCCCTGGATAGAGTGCTATAGTGTCATAGCTCACAGGAACCTCAGCCTCCTGAGTAGCTGGAACTACAAGTGTGTGCCACCATACCCAGACGGTTTTTCTATTTTTAGGAGACTAAGATTTTAAGATTACAGGCATAAACCACTGCACCCTGCCATCATTTTATTCTGTAAATCACAGGATCAGTGCGCACAGAATCAGGGAAGAAGGGCAGGCTATACTATTGCACAATTGCCACACCACTGAAGAAATCATCTCCCAGTTACAAGAACTCAAATAAATGGGAAACTTCTTTATTTTGTGATTCTTTTTTTTTTTTAGAGACAGAGTCTCATTTTATCACCCTCATTAGCATGCCGTTGCATCACAGCTCAAGGCGCATAGCAACTCCAGCTCTTGGGCTTAGCCGATTCTGTTGCCTCAGCCTCCCGAGTAGCTGGGACCATAGGCACCTACCACAATGCCCGGCTATTTATTTATTTATTTTTTTTGCAGTTTTTGGCCGGGGCTGGGTTTGAACCTACCACCTCTGGCATATGGGGTTGATGCCCTACTCCTTTGAGCCACAGGTGCTGTCCCCCCCCTCTTCTTTTGAGACAGAGTTTTATCTTGTCACCCTCGGTAGAGTGCCATGGCATCACAGCTCACAGCAACCTTCAACTCTTGGGCTTAAGCAATTCTCCTGCCTCAGCCTCCTGAGCAGCTGGGACCACAGGCACCCTCCATAATGCCTGGCTATACGGCTATCTTTTTGTTGCAGTTTGGCTGAACTGGGTTGAAACCTTCCACCCTTGGTTTATACACCCAGCCACAGGATCTCACTTTGGCTCAGGCTGGTCTGGAACTCTTGAGCTCAGGCAATCCACCTGCTTTGGCCTCCCAGAGTGCTAGGATTACAGGCATGAGCCACTGTGCCGGCCTTAAAATAAATATAAAAAAAAAAAAGATAAGATCAGGTTGGGCAACCTAGTAAGATCCCTGTGTCTACAAAAAAAATGAGAAAAAATTAGCTGGGCATTAGGAGTATGTGCCTGTAGTCCCAGCTACTTGGGAGCCTGAGGCAGGAGGATTGCTTGAGCCCAGGAGTTGGAGATTGTGGTGAGTTATAATTGTTCCATTGCACTCTGGCCTAGACAACAGAGTGAGGCTTTGTCTCAAAAAAGAAAAAAAAGTATATATTTTTCACAAACTGCAATATTATATATATAATGCCCTTTTAGTACTTGCAGAGGTTATACATATTTTACCTTTCTATGCATGGCGCTCTATTCTTTTTCAGAACCAAGACTATATCCCCTTATTTCCTTATTACTAGAATATTTTATCAGCAATAAAGGTGGTATTGAAATGCTTATATCAGTGCTTTCAAATTAGTGGTTTGAAAGTAGTCTTACCCTAAAAAATTGCTTTGTTGATTTTTTAATAGATACATGGAAATACATGGAACATTCTTCTACTAAATAAAATTTTGTAATTCTATTTTGAGGTACTTTGACAGGCAGAGAACTTGGCTGTCTCTTTTTTAGGATACCTACCTCCCTAAAAATGATTGCACTTTTTTAACATTTACCATCTGCTTAGATTCACAGCACTCTCCACCCTGCAGCCTTTTTCTTTATATCCCGCTTTCCTCTACTTTGAAATCTCAGTTTTATTTATGCCTCTTATCTCTCCAGGCCTCCCTCTCTACCCCCATCAGTAAACGGTATTTACTATTCTTATTTTTCCACAGGATGTCTAGGATGTCTAAGTCTTAATTCTCCCTTCTATTCCCTGACCAGCCTCTTCTTATTATTGCCAACTCCTTCTGACCCAGGAGAGTTCTAGAATAATTCCCGTGACCCCACCGCCATCCTGAGCAAGAAAATTGTGCTCCTCTCTAGAACCAGGGGAAGGGCTCTGCAAAAAGAGTAGGATGGAGGCAGTGTTGTCTAATGGTGAGAGTGCCTAGGAGCAGCGGAGTGTGTGGGAGGGTTTGACTCGAAGCAGAACAATCTTAGTTTCATTCCAGCCGAGTCCACACTAAGAAAGTAGGCCACCCCAGCACTCCTGAGGCTGAGGGCAGGGTGCAGAGATCACACTTCCAAAGGAAAGCCAAAGGGTGCTTTTAGAAGGAAATAAGACCAGGAGATTGGATGCAGAAAAAATTTGCACCCTCGCTCAGATCTCCTTCCCGGGTGGCCCCAAATCTCCACTCGTGGCCCGGCTCTGCTGCTAGATGCTGTGCCCTCCGCGCGCGGAGAACTTGCGAAAGCAGTGTCCGAGCCCCTGCTCCCAGCCTCTGGCCTGGCGGGCCTGGGACTCCATTCCTGCGCCCCGCTCACCTCCAGACTGCAGCCGTCGCCGCCGCTGCTGGGCTGTGGCTCGGAGGGCGGGCTCCGGGCTTCTCCAACCTGGGGGTCGAGCCAGGGCCCCGGACAGGGACTCGCGCCGGGCCGGCCGGGTCCCCGGCGGTGCGGGAGGGGTGGGAACCCCGGGGGATCCCGGGAGGGGAGGGGGTCCCTGGCCGGGGCCGGGGGTGGGGTCCAGCACCGGAGCTTTCAGTTTGTTCCGCTGTTTGAAATTGGCGCCGGCGGAGCGTTGCGGTCACGTGACGGAGCGTCGCCAATCAGCGCCGGCCTTGTCTCCGCGTTCCGGGATCGAACACTGTGCTTCCTGACAGAAGCGGCGGCCCGGGCCTTGCCCGGCGGGTAAGGGGGGCAGCAGGCTGGCTCGTGGGGGGAGAGGTAGCTGTGGGGCCCGGGGTCGATCCAGAGGGCTCCCCGCGGTTCGGCCGGGGTGGGGGGAGCGCCGGGACAGTTTGGGGACGCGCGAAACGACGCTGACCAGGTCCGGCTCACTCGGCCTACTTTTTCTCCCGTTCCCGGTTCCCTCCCCGAGACTACAAGCTCCCTGTATCCCTGTATCCCCCCCCACCCCACCCCCGGACTGGGGGTTCTTACCCTTCTTAATGGTCTGTTTTAGTTGATGTCCTAATGAAAGGAAGTTGTTCTCCACTTAACGATCACCTGGATCCCCTGACTAGACTGAGAGCTCCTTGAGGACTATGTAGGATCTTGTTCAAGTTTACTTCGTTAAGAAAAGAAAGTACGCGTCTGGGCGCCTGTAGCTCAGTGGTTGGAGCGCCAACCTTGTGCACTAGGGGTGGAGGGTTTGAATCTGGCTCGGACCTGCATAACCAAAAAAAAAAAAAAAAGAGTACGCACAATCTTCAAGTATTGACCTGTCTTTTGCACTCCTCCAAAGCCACACCTTTAGATATAATAAAGGGCTTTATTTACTTATTCAACAGATTTTGTTGAGCTGCTATGTGCCAGGCACTGCTAGGCCCTGAAAATACACAGTGGCAGACAAGGTTTTCTCCTTCTCCTATGCTTACAGTCTAATGGAAGAAGGGGGGAGAACATTTTCAAAGAGTCAAACAAATGTAGAAATACAGCTGTGAAGTGACAAATTAGAGGTCACACTAAGGAGATAGTAGGTTGGACAGGAAGGTCTTTCTGATGAGCTGAAGCTTGGTGGGAGATCTAGTGCCTTTTACAAAGAAGGGAAGGAACCTCTCTTAAGCACATGGAATCCTGTCTGCAAGGCTGTGTGGTGGAAGCAAGCAAGGCTAGTGCCAAGGCTGGGCTAAGAGACCTGAATGGAGTGTGGTATAGTTAAAGCTGGAGTCAGAGGAAGCAGGGTCTCTGCTATACTGAAGAATTTTGCCAATCAAAACTTTAAGCAGAAGTGAGTCAAGTCAGATTTGTACAGATTTGTACTTTATTTTATTTTATTTTTGAGACAG